GATAGTTTGTCCCCAAACTTCCAACACGAACATGCAGAAAAGCCGGTCACAGGTGGTCAGTAAGAGTACAGAATACAGATAGTAAAGAAGGAAGAGTTTAAAACCAAAAGCCCTTTAGAGAGTGCCTTAGCAACAACTAAATAAGGGTTAGAAAAAAAACATGCAAAACGAATGCAAATCTACAAAAAAACAACCTGTGATGACATTTTGAACCTCACCAAACACTCTGACAATCAGAGTTGGTTTTACGTAGAACACCGAATGTTGTTTTGCATTAAAACATAACACAAACAAAATGTTTTATTAAGCACAGACAAAATTTGGTTGCCGACTCACCAGTGCTCTCTCATCAACCACTTAATGGAAACACTGCATAAAAACTACCAGAACATGATGGAGAATGTCTTTTTGTACGTTAACATTTCTGCTGGTACTGATATATCTGTAATGAGTTCACTTCAGCCGGTAATAACAACCAGGCGGATTTATCTAGCTCTACTTGCCACAGCAACATGTACATGCGTGTGTGTGTGTGTGTGTGTGGTGTGTGTGTGTGTCTCTCTCTCTCTCTCTCTCTCCGGACCTGATGAGCGTGGTCCAGCAGGAGCGGCCGTCCAGGCAGCGCAGGTAGCAGCTGATGGTGGTTTTCTTGAACTGTTTGACGTCTTCCAGCTCTTCTTCTCTCATGTCGGCTCGCTGCGCCACAAACAGCTGCATCAGGTTGAAGAGCTCCTCCACCGCCTGCAGGGGGCAGCACACACACACACACACCATATTGTAATAACATGTATTTGTCTCTTACAGTGCGGCTGGATTGGGCTCACACTGATGGAGAGATGATAAAATGGACAATTTCTACCTCCATTTGCACTGTTTTACTTCCATTTGCTTAAAACATGTTTCATGAAGAATATTTTAGAGGATTTTAGTAGGATTTAGTGACATCTAGCGGTGAGATTGTACATTGCAACCAACCCTTAATCTACAACAGTGGCTGCAAAAAAAGGCCCAATCTACAGCCGGTGCTTGGTTTGTCCGTTCAGGGCTACTGATGGCGGCGTTCATGTTAGAGGACCCGCTCCCTCTATAGATAAAAACATGGATTCCTATATTCAGGTGATTACACACTAATGAAAAAATACCTGAATATTATATTTTATTTCTGACTATAGATCCTCCTCAATGTGACACTATTTAAATAGTCCAGCTCTCTCCTATTGTATTGTGCTGTATGAGCTGTCGGTGTATAGCACAACTAATCTTTTATGTGGTTCTGTGTGAACTACTTAAGACCCCATTTTAGCAGGGTCTCTCCAGTGCAAAATAATCTATACTGACTTCCTGGTTAAATAAAGGTTAAATAAATCTCCTTTTTGTTTCTGAAAATGTTTTAATCAGACTTTCTAATTAGATTTTTATGTTGTCTGTGTTTTCAGACTGATTTAATTCATTTGTATTTGTATAACATACACCTCAGGGGTTTATCCTGTGTATTGATCTGAAACTGAAACAAGAAAACAACCGCCATGGACAGAACAACAAACAGAACATGAAAATGTTATTCTGAAGAAACTCTTTGAAAGCGTGTGCCCTCATTTGTAAAACTGATCCCTGTGAATCAAACAACAGCAAATGTTAAATGTTAAAAACAGAAAAACCCCAAAACATTTAAAACAGATGAACAGTTGTTTTTGTTTTGTTTTTTGTTTTTTCCATTTATTTCTGTGTATGAACGGATGTAAATATGTATCCAAAGGTGAAACTGGAGGGATATATGGGAATACGAATGCAGCTAGGCAGTATGTTTGAGACTCTCCACCTACCCCGGGGTACTGGCTGGCGTGTGGCGTCAGGTTTTTGAAGGCCCACTGGATGTTCTGGTGAGAGGCGAGCTGGCGGGTGAAGGCGGGCGACTGCTCGCAGCACATGCGCAGGATGCCGTAGTAGGCGGGCAGCATGCCGCGGTTGAAGAGCACCACCTCCTGGTCGTCGTGGTCGGCCAGGATGTAGTTGAAGGCGATGTTCTTGGTCACCACTGGGTTCTGCACCACCAGGCGAACGTTCTCCGGACAGTCCACGCACATGTTGTACCAGAAGGACAGCAGCGCCTGCTTGTTGTGGTTGGTGGCGATGGCCGGCTCCGACAGTTTGGGCTGAAGAAGATTTTATATTATTACAGCTGTATAATATAGAACTAATATTGATAAGTGGAGCTCTGAGGATTTTACTAATTTTCCAATCACTATATTACTGTTAGTACTGTCTCCTAAGGTCACTCACCTCTCACACTTGTTAATAATTTTCTGTTTTATAAGATAAGAATTCTGATATTTAAAAAAATGCAATAATAAGTAAAAGAACGTACCTGGAAGAGGTTCCAGAGGTCCATAAAGTAACCAGAGAACATGAGTTTCTCCGTCTTGGAGATGAGGCAGTAGGTCATGAAGCTGAAGTACTGAACCAGCTTGGTGGTGCCGTGAACGCTGGCGTCTACGTAGAGCTTGGCGCGTCCCAGCAGCCCCAGCAGCAGGTTGTAGACCTGGTGGAGGACCACGGTGGTGTCGGGTGACAGCGGCAGCTCACGGGTCGGCAGGTGGAGGGAGCGCGTGGAGCGAAACATCTGGCGGAAGGAGTTGCTGGGGATGAGGGAGACGAGGAGGTACGCCGCGGCTGGAGGGGGGAGAGACAGCTGCTGTTAGGACCGGGGAGCGAACCGCAGACTAATGACACAGTGGACCTTTAAACGAACCATTCTGACAGAAACACTTACACGTGCGGACTCGGGGGTAGTTGTGGGCCAGCAGAAAGCGCTCCACCCAGTTCTCCATGTTCTGCAGGACCCAGCTGTGGGCCAGTTTGTTCCTGGGAGTCTGGACCGCCAGCCAGTCCAGACACTGAGACGGGTTGTACTCGATCACCTGACCGGAAGAACGCAGACATACATGAAGATAACCCAGAACAAAACAATGACAGCCAGGCCTGAATATTAAACCTCCTGCCATTAATCTGCTAACACGAGAAGATCTGTTCCTGTTGACTGGACGTAACCGAGTGTGTGCTACGAGCTAAAGGCAATACTGATATAATCCATATAATCAGGTGTTTAAATATGTTTAAATGTTGTCTGTTTGTTACTTGTTATGCAGACATTTTAAACAGGTCTGGTAAAAAAGACTTTTTATCTTCAGAGACGTTCTTGGTGAAGGATAAAAAGAACAAGTAGCTGAAACCGTTATCTGTACTAAATACACTGAACTAAATAAGCTAAAGCCGAACAGATAATCCTGATTTGGCTGGTTTCAGGAAAAAAAAACACTGAATAAATAAATAAAACACAACTGAAGATAATAGATGAGAAATGTAAGAAACGTTGAGAAAAAAGAACAGTAACTTCTGTGACACCAGCTGAAGTATTTTACCTCCCAGATCCTCTGGAGGATGTAGGAGGCGAACGAGGGCATCCCCGGGGGTCCGCCCGCAAACTCCATCAGCATCGTCAGCAGCTTGAAAAAAGGATTAGCAGCCTGAGGGAGGGAGATGAAGAACAAAAGAAGAACTAATGAAGCATGTGTAGAGCTTATTACTTAAATACCACATATATTAGATTAAATTCTAGTGTCAGAATAACTGTTACAGTAACTGTTTGAGCTATGAATGAATCTGATTTAAGTAAAAAGTCTCATCTGTGCTGTGCTTACCTCAGGAGTCAGCTTAGCGATGGAGGTGAAGAGCATCGACACAATCTGAGGAGGACAATTATACAATCAGTATCAGAAAAGAGCAGCAAAACCTGTAATAGGACAGTAGCAGGATAGCAGCCCAACATGTCTGCAACACAACTGCAGTGCATTCTGGTCCATTTCCGCTTCTGTGGTGGATTTCTCTCTGTATTTTTTGGGCGATTATTTGTCAGTATAGACAGAAGATTCAGGACTTTTCAAGGACTTTTTCTTGATAATACAGGACAGCTCTCAATGGTGGTCAGCGTTTACAGGACACTCCGAGTTGGCTAACTTTTTAAATTGACCATCCTTTCAAACTCTGCTGGAAGTTCAGAAAATATCTGTTCTCCACTTTACATCAGACAGAAGGAACATACATAACATCTTTAAATATCCAAAAATACACTTGAAAACACAATCTTACTGTTCAAAGCAGATTACGATCAGTGCAACAGGATAACTTTTTGTACATTTCTTCTTTCCCTTTTCATAACACCTAATATTATACACATCAGTGGAGATCAGTTTAAACATTAGCATCGTGTCATTTCCTGTGTGTGCTAAACCTACGTGCTCGGCCAGGCGGTTGTTATAGCGACAGAGGCTGAAGATGAGGTTGCAGGTCTGCCTGATGTTGATGCCATCTCTGATGTGCTGGAAGAGGAAGGGGAAGCCTTTCCCTCCGGTCAGCGCCGCCATGTCGCTCTGGGACAGAGTCAGGTGTCTGGAGGTGAGAAAGAAACAAAGAGTCGTCTGAATCCTCAAACCGCATTACAGACAGTAATATTTGTTCCATCAGGTCCTCAACTCGTACCTCTCAGAGCGAGACTGCTCCACCAGCAGAGCGATGAGGGCGATCATCTTCTCCAGAGCTGCAGGACGATACTTCTCCTCCGCCAGGGACAAGATGTCTTCCTCCTCGTCCTCCTCCTCTCCTTCCTCCTCTGAAAGCACCTCCACCTGAGGCTGAGGGAGGACACTCATCATTTACTCTCTTCCTTCAGTGTTACTGACATATAGATCACTAAATATACAATGTAATACATCTACAAAAGGGACCAATTATCACATTTAATGTTCAGATCTCAATAAAAATATTCAGTGAGTAAACTTACATTCTCAGGTCCTTTGGTTCCCATGTAGAAATGCACCATGATAGAAATGGCTTGTAGTGACAACAAGAACTGACTCTGGAGACACAAAAAAGGACAAATGACTTGATTTACACAAAGATTAATTATGTTTTAACAATAACTGCTTATAAATAATTGAATCCTATTTAATAAGAGTAACAAGTGGTGCAGAGGATCCAAGAAACAAATTGTTTATTTATGTGCTTCATATCTAAAAACATCAATTCAACCTGATAAAAACTTCTACTTTTGATCAATTTTACTTCATTAAATTCACTAGTCTGTTATCTGTTGTGTAAGTCTCAGTCGGCTGTCAGGCTTCAAGATATTCTAACAACATTTAAAATAAACTGAGATTTCCCAGCAGTTAGTACCACTGATGAGGTTTTTGGCTGAGTGGACAAACATCTTTCAGACTCAAAGATCAAACTGTAGAAGTTCGGACCGACCTCCTCCTCTCCCATCTTGGCGAACTCGTAGAGGAAGGCGAAGTACTCGGTCAGGTGTTTGCTGTGGGGTTTGACGCCGTGCTCCATGATGGACAGCAGGGTCTTAACGAAGCGAGTAACGCAGGATCGGCTGCCGATGTCCTCCACCGGACCGTCCATGTCGTCAGAGCTGAAACACGGGGAAGGAGGGAGAGAAGTTTTTAATGCAGGTTCAAACAGAACACGATCCAGTCCGACACATCTTAAATGTTGTAGATATAAGAGATATAAAACATTAATATAGCAGCAAACAGTCATTTTCTGTGTAAAGATAGTGTCACATGGTGTCTCAATCCCTCTGCCTGTGATGTATCGCTGAATGAAGTTACGATGTTACGATGCTCTGCGATGTAAAATCTGTGTTTTTGTCTCTGGAGTCTAGTGGAGAGTGATAAGTGATATTACGGCTGTTTGTGCTCGTTTTTAAAACTAAAGGTCTATCGTCTGTAGATCCTTTCATAATGCTGTCAGGGCACTGACAATAACAACCTGAGTCTGTCAGTGGCAGAAACTACTTTTAGTTTTGACTTTGATTAGTTAGCGTTAGCGTGCTTGTTTTGGCCATTGCAGGCCTTTTCGTTAATATTTTCACCTGTAATTGTGAATTCAAGATTTAGTTTGACCAAACCAGAGTTGGTGATTGAAAGAATAACAGACGGTTTTGGTGAGTTTTATTCTGTTTCTGTCCACTTGTATTTGGTCTGAGATGCTGGTGCTCTCGTGCGACATCCAGTAGCAGGTGGATGTTGTATTGTTCAGTTTTGTGGAGCTATAAATCTTTCTCAGAGTCCAGAGTGACACAGACAATGAGTGACACACAGCTCCTGTTTGGATCTCTGTCGCCATCTGAAACTACAGACACAACACTGTCTGTTTGTGCTGCGATTCTCTACTGGCACAATCAATATGACTTTCCATTTATCATTGAATGGTTGTTCGCTTGGATGGTTTAGAGAGACAGGGGTTGGAAAATTTCTCCTGTGGTTGCGCAGGATCTGATGTAAACTTTCTTAGAATATAAAAGTCAAAAACAAAATTTTTTAAATCTAAATATGAAGCAGCTTGTGAGTTTTGATTTGAGTAAAACATTGAACTTCCAATCCGACCAATCAGGTGTGACATACCCGTCCTCCATGCCGGGCTGGAGGTAGAGGTGAGCGTGAACCGGACGAAGCCTCTGGATGACGTGAATACACAACCTCTGGAACATCTGGAAGAGATTTTGTGACATGAGACGAGATCAGGATGGAACCTCAACCAAAATAAATATCTGAGGGGAAAAACCAGGTCACAGGATAGAGGAGTGAAAACCGGAAACAGGAACAACGCGGAACATAAGGGTAAAATAAAGTTATATCAGACACTGTAACTCACTTGTCTGACAATCTGATTGGGGCACTTTATGAGTATCTGCATCGGCCACCAGTTGTCATCTGCCATCCGATCCAAAAACCACTGAAAGAGAGGAAAACATTTAAACAAACACAAAAAGAGTTTCTGTCCTGCATCCAATAGAAACACCATGCGTCACATATTGTATGACAGAACAACAAAAGACCTACAACACTAAAAGGTAAAACATAAAGCTGGGATCAAACCTCGCAGGCCGCCTGGCTGTTGTTGAACTGTTTGGTCAGGAGTTCAATCCACTGCAGCATGGTGGGCTGGAGGTAACAGAGCGGGAAGGACACACATCAGTCAGTTTGTCTCCATGTTACAGACGTCCAGTGGTCACAAATTAAATGTCCTACAATAAGCCTGAGTGAGCATTACCTTCTCCTTGGAGTGAATAAAAGTCTCAAGGACAAATGATGTGCTGAGCTGCAAAGAAAAGAACATTTAGATTAAAGACACGAACTCTTTCAGGGGGCTGAAATACACAAAATCACTCTGACAGAACAGTTTACTTGTGTTTCTATTGACAAAGAGGCAGTTTGACATTAAAATAGCTCCTGGGTCGATAAAGCAGCAAAAATATGGATCTAAATTCTACTGTATCTAAAACTACACCTAACTATTCATCTATTTTTATTTATTTCATCATCAATTAACCTGCTGTAAAAGTACCTACAGATTATCATTATACTGTTGTCCATTAATTTCCTGGTCATGGATTTAAGGATGGATTTATCAGCCTAGTTTCAAATTTCAAGTCATGACAAACCTTTTTTTGATTGTTAAAGAAGCATCAATTTTCTTCTTCTTATGGTAATATGGTGACGTGATACCTAGTTTTATTCTAGTAAATTTACAATTTCAATCTTTAGTTTTTCCCTAACACACCGTTGTAACGTGTCAAACTAAAATTTTGATGCTAATTTCTCCTAAACTTTCTTTTATTGTTAGAAAAAAGTAAAAAGTGACAGTAAAGGTAAAAAAATGTGTCTGCTGCTCACCTTAGCAGTCATGAGGGAGACGGCTTTAGGGTCTGGTAGAGTGCTGGGGATGCTGCTGCAGAGCTGCCACATGAAACTGACAAAAACAACAAATATAAGCCGCTGTAGAAAGGGAATACAAAGACTGTATATAAAAGTAACAGATCTGATACCCACCCAAAGTATGTGTGTTCAAATATATTTTTATCCTGGAGGAACTGCATGTTGTCGTGCCAGATCCACTGGAAGGGAGACAGACATGTACATTTAAACATAAATATAAATGTATTTATATCATTTAAATTTAAAAAAGGAGACCCACAGTACCTCCAGTAAGTCAGGAGAGACGTCAAAACTAAAGTCCTTCCCATTCTCCTCCTCCAGCTCCACTCTCTTATAGAAGAGCATGTAGGCACTGTGTGTCTGCAAGTTCAATCAATAATTCATTATTACCTTCTGGACCGTTTGTGCCAGTAAAAAGCAGGTAAGACAAAGACAAAAATCATCTTCACCTTCTCAAAAGAGAAATCCATGAACTTGTCAGTGACGGAGTCGTAGGTTTTAGTCTGAAAGATAAAAAGAATGTCAGCGAAATCCAAAGTGACAGATTAATAATTGCGAATATTTTCCTTCGACTGCAGCTCGTACTGTCATTTCTCCACCGAAGCACTCAGAGGCCAGCTGGGCCGAGTCGAAGGGCTTCACCTCCGCATCGTTGAACAGGTACCTGCAAAAAGTGTTGTTTTTAAATCCAGCTGCATTATTGAGAAACCTGAATCTGAAACATGCTGATTTCTGGGTAATTAAGTGCCTAAATAGCCAAATTATTTCTAGTTAAACGTGCTTCTGCCCTCACCACTTGTTGTTCTTGTAGGCGTGAGGGTTGACGATGTCTCTAATGAAGCTGTAGTAATGGCCACCGTCTGCTGTGCCCGTGTGCACCGTGACGCCGATGAGGTCGTACTCGTAGCTCTCTGTGACTTTTGCTTCGCCCTCTTCCCGAAAACCTGCAGCACACGACAAACACCGCTCAGAATTCATTCATTGTCCACACCAACCAAAACGCAGATGTTTTGGAAGCTGTTTGTCCATTATTTGAGTCAGTCTCATCATTTTTTGGTGTTTGTACAAACCCTCTTTGCGCTCTCCTTTGCCCATGAGGAAGTCCTCGGTGTAGGGCGTCATGTCGAGGCGCAGCGGGAAGGAGAAGTGGGTGTTGACCTTCTCCTTCATCATTGTCACCATGTTGAAGGTGTATCTCATAGTGTTGAAACTCAGGATCCGGGGCAGCTTTTTGAAACACGCTCTGTGGGAAGGAGACACGAAGAGTGGAGAGAGAGATTAAAGGATTTATCACGCAGGTTTAAATAGGGAGTTTTTTTTGCTACTTTAACTGAACAGATCCATGTGTTCAGGTGTATTCTGACCTTTTCTCTGCGCGGACCTTCTTGCCACACTGGGAGCAGGTGTACATGTTGTCGCCCTCCAGAGTGTCCTTGATGGTCACCTCATCCAGAGATTCCTGAATGAAGACAACAGAAACAATTAGATTAGAAAGTAAAAGAAAAGTACAATATTTCTCTCTGAGAAGTGGTGGAGTGGGAATATAAAGTTGAAGAAAACAGTCAAATTTATAAGTTACATTCCACCCCTGGCTGACACTGATGTGTTTTGTATACTCACGTAGATGTTCTTCATATCCGCCACCTGACATCTGACAGTGTAAAACTCCTCTGCTGTCTGACTGACGTGGTCACAGTCCTGCAGGACAGACGGCGCAAAGTGTCACTCAAACAGTCAAACACTGACATTTCAAACTCACCAGAAAGTCAACTTTATAACTCTTCAACTATTTAAAAACTTCTGCACTAAATCTGGAAAATGCATTCTGAAGATGAAAAAAGTATTTCATGTATAGTGTCAAATAAAGCTCTTAAAAAAATCTTAGAGGTTTTGATAATTGATGAAATACTTTAAAGGGTATATAAAATAAAACAAAGAATAAAAATACAAAAAAAGATGAAATTCTACATATAAAAGGGAATTTAAAGCAGATATTAAAACAGGATTGAGACAATTCAATAAAAAGAAGCTCAGAGGTTTAGAGCTTCTTCATGGTGGTAAGAAGATTTGAGATCAAAAACCCAAATTTGGTCATACAAATCGTAAAATCCCTCAAACTCACCAGAGAGACCACATTGTTGGTGATGACACCTCCAAACAGAGTCTTCACTGTGTTTTTCTGTTAGAACGGACACATTCATTAATCACATATTTGTTCAGACTTTGTCGAGATGTTGAACTTGTGCTGTTTAAAAGGTCCAGTGTAGGATTTAGTGATATCTATCGGCGTAATAGCACTTCAAATCTCTCTCTTCCAAGCACGAAGGAGAAACTACGGTGGGCGTGAAATGTGCGAAAAACGCTGCTATCAAGAACCAGTGTTTGGTTTGTCCCTACTGTAGAAACATAGTGGTTCAACATGGCGGACTCCACGGAAGGTGACCCGCAGCATCGGTAGCTGTAAAAGGCTCGTTCTAAGGTCACAAAAACATTAATGTTTCTTATATTTGGCTGCTTATACACTAAAGAAAACATGTATTATATTTCTGCCAATAGATGCTCCTAAATGTTCACTGGACCTTTAAACATGTAAAAGATATAATTTTGGTCGGTTATCATTTGTTGTTTATGTGTGTGTATTTTTGTTTGTTTTTATTCCTTTAATTCCAAAGTATTGAATTTGGTTAAATATCAGGGTTCTTTTTAGGTTTGTGTTTGTGTGTGTGTGTGTGTGTTTACCAGCTCCTGGGACATCTCCTCTATCTTTGTGATGAGGTCAGTGAAGAACTCGGTCATGTCTTTCTGCTCCCCGGTGTTGAGAGGCTGTTTGTCCATAGTGTACGTTTTACAGAACGGCCGGGGGTTGTACGCTTTCCGTTCGCTCTCCTGGAGAGACACAGAGACAGAGGAGGAGGAGGAAAAGGAAATTTTAGATGCAACAGTTGTAATTCAGACTTAAACATTGTCATCAAACTGTCTGCAGAGTGTCTGTGACAAACTACAAAGCTAAAAACAACAAGAGAGACAATAGAAAACAACATTTTGGTACTTTATGGACAGATTTTTGGAGGTATAAATGTAAAACTCACCATGAGATATGTGAACATCTTCTGCAGTTCCAGCAGTGTGGTCTTGTGTTTGATATCCTCAGCGTACTACACACACACACACACACACACACACACAGGATGAGAATCTACACTCTTGTCTTTAAGATGAATTGTGTTTTTTCCTGCTGTGCTCTGCCCTCAGTTTGTCTCGCAGGTTACTGACCTTGGCGGTGAAGACGGCCTGGCGGGCCTCTGGGATCATGTAGAGCTGCTGGATGGTGGAGGCCAGGTAACAGGTAGCTCCCAGGTTAGTCAGACCCACAAAGCGGCACTCAGCCCGAACGTCGTCGTGGGGCCAGTAGTCCCACTTGTACGGGGCGTGAGAGGCTAGAGGAAGAATAATGGAAGACGTTTTTGATGATGAAACAGAGACATATGACCAACTCTGCAGTTTTCAGCCATTTTTAGCTCGTAGTTTTAAAGCACGTTTACTGTACAGTTCATTGACTGCACAGGCTGTCCCAGTCTCTCCAGCATTAATCCCACCAGAAGGACAATGACTTATAGAAACAGACTGAATTCACTGTAGCAAAGCTCAAATTGAGTCAGATCATCGTCTCAAAAGACTTCTGACACAGAGTGTAGCTTGCACAGCAGTGTCCTACTGTAATAATCAACTGAATATTGAACTTTTATTCATCAGGTGGACAGAAAAAGACAGATTGTGTCTGTCTGCTTTGTTTTTACGCCGCGTAGTGGAACAAAAATAATATGAATGTACTTAAAAGGTCAATGGTAAAACTGCCTTTACATTTCTGCATGCAACTGAGGCGATTATAAGTGATATGAGTTTCCATTTGGACGCAGTATTTCCATACTTTAAAGAATATATAGCTTTTGTTTCTGGATACTTGCCATGAATACATGACCTGTGGTATAATGTTGTGTTAAATATTTACTGCATTCTTTCCCAAACTCGGGGTCGCCTGATATGGAAATACAGTTACAACAAAATTGCTGAGAAGAGCTTATTTAATACGTAAATATAAAGAAAATTTAAAGTAACGAATGTGGTAAAAAAAAAAAAAAAGCTTCAATTATGTTGCATGAACTTCGAAGTTGAAGCAATCTGCAATACAGTATGTACTTGGTCCAATAAATGTAAGTGACATTTGTTGGAGCAAATCTGTTTTTGCTAGCTTTCAGTTTTCTTGGGGGTGGAAATGTCTCGTCTACCTCGTAACAAACTGACCAGGTAGTAAAGTGAAGCTGCCAGCGTCCTCACCCTGCATGTGCTGTGACATGACCCAGTTGTGGAGCAGCCGGTAGTTCTCCACCGAGCCCTTCACTGTCTCCACCAGCAGGTCGTAGGCGGCGGCCCGGGCAGCGTGGGACTTGCATTTGGGCTGAGCACGGTCTGCCAGGCTGGGCAAGAGGAAGAGGAGGTTGTGGACGTCCCGCAGGAACTCCTGACCCTCGCGGGAGAACTTGAAGGGAGGCTTGTGTTTGAGGACGCTGGTGGCGAGACGCAGGAGACCGGTCAGCCCATCGTCCTCGATCGTCCCGTCCTGCTGGTCCAGGATCTCACGGCTGGAGGAGAGAAGAACACTGAGGTCATGACGGGTTGGTGTTAAACTTTAGCCTTGCGAGGCAGCTGGACTCACGCAAGAACACATCTTGCCAGGCGTCAAACTGACATTTTATATGTATAGTAAACGTTTCATGAACTGTTTCTGGAAAAGAAAAAGCAACCAATGTCCACAATGGGGAAATTTGTCATGTGTTGAGAATAACATCATATGATATGAAACATATTATACATACTGAAAAGATAGGACAGCACTAACCCTCCTCAAAATAGAAATAAACCTACAATAAAGCACTTGCAGGCAGTCAATACACCAAACTATCAACCCAGATCCGATTATATAAAACTACTGTATTCAGTATTTGACTGTCTGACCTCCTGATGCAGTCGGCGAGGTGCCGGGCGAGAGCGTCCAGGTCCAGCAGGGTGGTCTGCATCGAGCCGGCCAGCGACAGAGAGGGAGAGACCTTCTGTGAGTTCAAACAGACCAATACTAGCAACAGCTCAATGAAACATCACAGCAATAATAAAGTGAATCTATCAGCTGAGTACAGATCCATATGATCAACAGAACTGTGGCTCCCACCTGGCTGGCGTCTTTAACGTGGATGTTGTCGATGAGTTTACAGAGCAGCCAGAAGTATTCTTTACAGCCCGTCCGTAACAGAGGCTCCTCTTCATAGTCCTCCACCTGCAGATACACGTGTTACCATCAGACTCCCTCGTTGGTAGCAAAGCACACACATTCTGCACTCAGTAGCATCCTTATAAATTCAGGTAAAATCATTAGCATCAGTTTATTTTGATAAGATTAATAAAGTTTGTGAAGGCTTGGGGGGCTTCCATGTTTGTTTTCGCAGCATCTCACCATCAAGCACTTACTAGGTGACGTCAGCTAAGTCTGTTCTGATTCAGAGCTTAGGGGGGGGAATTAAGGCCCTGACACACCGTCGGTGAGCGTCTGTTGCCCTAGTTTTTGTGGTGGGTTCCGCACGCTACGCTACTTACTTCAAGGACAAGCATCACCTGAAATGATGCTTTGAAAGAACAGATTCCGTTATAACACGGAGAAAGATAAAACATTGAAAATGGATGTCCCGAGCAACGTTATATGGTACGACAGCACACAACTTCCACATGTCACCGCCATAAATACTTGGATTGGATTGATTCTGCAATGCAGGTTTTTTAAAAACTCTTTCCAGCCAGTTTTAGCAAGGAGAAGCTGAGAGACGTCGTCAGTCTCTATTGAGCAAAACGTTCAGAGAGGACACTAGGCTATGAGGACATTGGGATTGGGCCCAAGATTGAAAATGTTTGCATTTTATGGAGGAAGGAACAAATTTGTTTGACCTCAAGGATTCACACAATGACTCTTTGTGAGTAATACTGTATGTTAACATAACTTTTGTTAGTTTACAAGAAAACCCCACAGGGCGCCTTTAAAAGCAACAATATTCAGAGTGTGTTCCAGTGTCTCCAGCATTAATCCCACCAGAGGGAAAACGTCTCATAGAAACAAACTGGTTTCACTGTAGCAAAGCTCAAATTGAGTCATATCATTGCCCCTGAGAGCTATTGACACAGAGTGTAGTTTGCAGATGAGTTTTCTGTGTATGTGTACCTTCTTCCATGAGGTTCAGCTTGAGTGTGTGTGTGAGAGTGTGTGTGTGTGTGAGAGAGAGTGTGTGTGTGTGTGTGTGTGGTGTGTGTGTGTGTGTGTGTGTGAGAGAGAGAGAGAGAGAGAGACCAACCCGCAGTGGTTTGAGGCCCTGTGCGTCAGGCAGGAACTTGAGGAGCGTGGAGGCAGCGAGAAGCAGGAAAGGATCTGTTGATGGACTCTCCGCCCTCCAAACCCGACAGAGAGAGCTTGTAGAGGCCGTTACACGCCTCGTGTCTGACAGCCGGCTGAAAACAACAACACCACGTCAGACAACAAACTGATACGTGTTTAGTAAACTTCTATCAGTTTCTTCGATCTGAATCACAGTTGAGAAGTCTACCTGTTACTTTGTTTTGTGTTTTGTTTCACGAGTAGAGATTTCGCTTTCAATTCCTGTAACTTAATCTTTGCCTATGCTCAACTGTGGTGTTCATACAGGTAAGATGACATCAAGGTAAAGATAATATGGCTCAGACTTATTTTTGTTATCAGGGCCCCGAGTTTTGGAGAGAGTGCTACAAAATTGTATAACTAGGAGCATCAGTGCAACCTGCAAACATGCCACTTGTTTTCGTTTTGTTGTTTTAATCATCATTGTATGTATCATGTAAAACACCAGGAGGGAGCGAGAACAGGTGTGTTAGTGCGTAAAGGATTGTCCTCCTAACTGTTACACACTGGACCTTTACAAAAAATGAGTTCATTAGTGAGCTTTGGAGGTGCTGGCAGGTGGATCTGGTCACTTTCTCTGTGGATGTTTGGTCTGGCTCACCTCAGGCACCAGCAGGGTGAGTTTCTTCAGCCAGTCGTGAAGGTGGTCGCTGTCGGCCAGACTGGACTTTACCGTGGAGGAGCAGTGAGCCCAGCTCACGAGCAGCCACATGGAGTAGTGAGTCACTTATGGAAGAAAAAGAAACGTCACAGGCACGTCAAGTCAAAAAAAGTTATATTTAAGACATTTTAAGGCCTTAAACTCAGATTATTGTACTTTAGACTTTTTGTAATAAGTTCTCACCTTCATGACGAGACCTGTGGTCAGACTGAGCCTTAAGAACTCTGTTAAAGAAAAGACAACATGTATATTATATACGTTATATTTTAAAGAACCGAAGAATATGTTTTGTACTCCTGTATTTTGCCACCTGTGTGCAAGGTTGTCGTAGGTGTAGGCCACGTTGATCAAACGTTGGATGAGGTTGGTGCCCTGTACGAGGCTGAGGAACACCTGCAAACCAACAGACAGATAATCAAGTCCCAGTCCCGGTCTAAGATAATCGCTGCTGCTCTGTTCGTTCCTCCAGCTGGGGCAACATTTACCTCAGTGAGCCGAGGGATGTGCAGGCCTTTCCCATGCTCTACGGTGGACTTGCGAGATTTGCCCGGCCACGCCCGCTTGCGTTGGCTTTCAGCGAGGCCGGACCAGGAGAAGACGTCATGGTAGGCCAGGTCCAGGTCTGCGGGATCCACCGCAAACTGGCAGATCAACTTCAGCAGGCAGGCCAGGCAGTCCAGCAGCCACTGCAGAGGAGACGGGTCGCACATGAAGATCTTTGTTCCAAAATCAAACCACTCGTTCCGTTCACACTTCGAATGTGTGAATGAACCAAAACCAGCTGAGGATTTTTTAATCTTTGTACTGAAGTAAAAACATGGTGGACAATCATTCAGAAGGTTCTAGTCTCTCTCACCACAGTCCAGGACTCCTGGTCTTTAGGCTCCAGGATGCCCGAATTGAAGATCTCCAGGAGCAGCTGAAGACCTCCAGACGAAACAAACTGGAGGAGAGAAAGAAAAAGATTGCTGTTTTATTAACATCTTTACTTGAACTACTCACATTTTAAAGACGGTTAATGTCTTTAAAAAGGGGGAAACTGTTTAAACAACAGGTCGATGTGGTTTTTCTCGTCACAGATGATGTGCTGTGTTGTACCTTGCAGCTCCATGTGTTCTTGCTGTTTTCTATCTGATCCTCACTGGAGTCGTCAGAGTCTGGATACAGATCGCTGTAGCTGCCCTGGAAACACAAACACGTATGTACAAGAGTAAGAAAAATGTCTAATTCAAGTGACAGAATGATTATCAGGTTTCCAACATTTATCAGCCAATATGAAGTATCACAGATCAATCAGTATCAGTGATTGACTCCCTAAAAGCCTTTATTATCAACTCTGTTTTCCTGCGTTCACACTTTACAAAGTAAAGACTGTATACAGAACTCTTTAAAATAAAAATCAGTGTTTTTCTCACAGTGGACTCCCGGTGGATGCGTCTGTTAGGTTTGCCCAGAGCCTCGATGATCTCCAGAGCGTACAGCAGTTTGTGGGGACTTTTTATCCTCAGCAGCTCCTTCCAGCACAGACCCTCCCCGTTCTACACACAAACAAATACACATACAAAAAACTGTTCACTTATCCAGTGCTCGACAGAAGAACAATTTGAATTTGTGACGGCGTAGTTCATCGATCTCTGCGTTTCCTCTTCTCTGTGTATGCTTGTTGAATGTTTGTGAATGCAAAATGGCTGCCGTTAACTGGTGAAAGTTGTATGGTGAGTGTGGTGACTGACCGCGTCGTCTGAGATGTTCTGGAAGGCCTGTAGCATCTTGGGACACGTGGGAAGAAGCATCAGCAGCTCCCAGACCCGACGAGACAGATTCTCAGCGTGGAGGTGAAGCTCCTCACACCGCGCACTCTGCACGGACACACACACAATCCTTTTATTTGAACAATCTTTTATTTATTTCAACATCTTTCTGCAGTCACTACGAGTTGTAGGTAACACCTCTAGTGTAACACGGCCGGGCAAAAACACCCACCTCAGGGTTTTCGTGGACGTTCTCGGTGTTGGGGCTGGGCGGTTTGAAGCAGGCCAGCATCTCCAGCAGGTCGAACAGTGTAGTGAGGTGCGGCTCCTGGAGGAGCAGCAGCATTGGGATGTGCTCTTTCTGGGGAGGAGGCAGACAGGAGGCCGGCAGCTGGATGCCCTCCCCCTTCCTCTCCCTCCGCGGAGCTCCCAGGGACACAAACACCATCTGGGATCAAACACACAAACATGACGCAGTGATGATTCGTCTGCGTTGTACATTTCAAATGACAGTAAAACTTTTTGGGGGGTTTTTTGGACAAAAAGGAATCTCCAACCAAACTGTGCCGTCTGGTTGATTAGCTTTTAGGTATTGACAGACATAAGGAATGGAACCAGGCACTCACCTGCATGTCTTTGAAGCCCAGCTCATGCAGAGTCTTCTCGTCGTAGTCTGTGGTCAGCTCGTGGCCGGAGGAGATCATCCTGACTGGTCCCATCAAACCACCTGCAGGAGAAAAGACAGAATTCACACACAAGCTCACAAAAAACAGCTTCATACAAACTGCTGACAGTCTGACGTTTATTTGTAAGTAAACAATAACGAGGGGAAGGTCTGCATGAGCCGACCTGGGAAGTCTCCTGGCTGCCGGCCGCTCTGGCCGAACTCCTGCAGCTGAGCCTGCTGGTTCATCTGCTCCTTCTGCAGGTTCTCGTACCAGTGGGTCACCTCAGCTCGCAGGTCTGCTACCTGGTCGCTGGGGTACATCTCGATCGTCATCTGCAAAGACACACAGCATACATGAAGGCTTTTCACCACAATTTGTTCTGGGGCCTGCAGGTGTGGGGCCGGGAAACGTAGTGAATAAAGATTAAGGTTACATAATCACATGCATGATTGGATAATAATAATAATTGGAGGCTGTGATTTTAGAACTGCACTCACAATGAATGATTTTCATCACATACAAAAGATGAAAGACGACTATTTTTTATCTGATTATGTTGATGACTCATGAACAAACAAGCACCCAATATACGATTCTACCTTCTTATGTGAGACCAGTTGGATTTTGTTTGAAATATATTCCTTACCCTATTCAGTGAGTGAATGTGTAATTTCAGTCACCTCTAAAAAGCCCTTTAGGTCAGAGCTGCAACTCATTGGTGGCTTTGTCGTGTGAAATGTAAATTTGTCACCTTGTCAGGAAGGCCGGCGGGCTGACAGACGATCCTGAGCGGCAGAGACTGTTTGTCGCTCAGAGCCTTCAGGTGGCTGCTGATCCCCGTCCCCTCGATCTGCCACTGCCGCAGGTGGTACGCAAACCTGAGAGGGACAGGAAACAATGTGTTGTTGAGATGTGTTTATGTACGGTCGGCATTTACATCAACGTTGTGTAAATCTCATTGAAACCTTCCTGGGTGTTGTGTACCTGCGTCGGAAGGCCTCCAGGTGTGTTTTGAGCATGAGCAGCCCCCTCTCGATGCTGGTCAGGCTGGAGTGGGCGTCCTTCTCCAGGTTGGCTGAAGCCATCAGCAGACTCTCCATACACTTCCTGATGAACTCCTGCTCCTTCTCCAGGCCCGTCTTACCAGCTGGAGACACGAAAAGACACACAAAGACATGAGGTAGAATTAAAAAAAAGTCCATGGTCACTTTGACATTAAAAATAGTTTTCTGCTGAAAAATGAAAAATCCAAAGAAATCCACAATCAAGATATATCAAACATGTAAAAAGTGAGTCTGTAAAGACACTGAATATATGAAAGTCAGTATATTTGCATTAAAGGTCTGCACACTGTGTGTAAGTAATGGAGGTAAACTAACCGTTGATGTAGTAGGAGTTGATGTACTGGATGGCAGCGCGGCTGATATCAGCAGACTGAGCTCTCAGAGCGATCCCCCACAGCTGGTCCATCCCACACAGCTGGAGACACACAGGCTGTGAGTTAACGGTCTGTCTACTCTGATTTCACTAAAGCTAATAGAACTTGTAACGTGAGTATAGCTCTCAAATCATTAGATTGTCTACATACTGGACTGAGAAAAGCACGTGCATAATCTACATAGAAAAGGTCAATTACAGTTCAAGAATTCACTACATTGGTATCAGTATCGGTCTCAAAAATCATGCAGGCTTTAATAAAGTTATTAAAGGTCTGCCAGTTTAAAAACACTCAATGCCCTGGCTTCTGCTCTGTAATACAAACTGCTCTCAAAATAAAGAATGATAATAAAAAAAAGGTCTGCCAGTTAAATGTATTTATTATTTTTCCAGGAAGCGTGGGAACCCTGCGTTTGTTTACCTCACAGCTGGAGGCGTTGTCCAGAGCACTGGTGGCGAGGCGGGCTAAGTTACAGAGGTGCTGAAAGAGGTTGAGGCCAGTCATGCTGATAGTCTCTGGCTTCAGCTGGGGCATCTGGAGACACGCACACATACAGTTACATTAACACACACACACACACACGCTGTTCATTGTTCTGGTCTCTGTCAGGGTGCTCCAGGTAGTATATATCCAGCTTTCTGAAACTAGGTTAGGGTGTAACCAGGGTACTCCAACTCGTCCCAAGATATTCCTCCTCGCCCCCTACCTTCTCCAGGAACAGATGTTTGTAGGTCTCCATGCCCATAGCATGCTGGTCCTTGCTGCGGACCTGATTGAGGAACCAGTGCAGCGCGTCGTCGTAGCACTCGACGTCCTCCACCAGGCAGTGCCACAGGATGTCCACCTGCTCCAGACTCAGCCCTGAGAGACGCAAACACAGGAGCAAAATTACACACAGGAGCTCAATCAAACAGGAAGACAGACTCCACCCCTTCGATATTATTATAAGAATATTTCTGGGTGTCTTTGTGTGTAATTCAATGGGGATCTGTTACTAAATTGAAAGTTTATGATATTTTCTATTATACTCAAAGACTCAAGAGACTGAAAACAAAGAAAGGAGGAAACACAAAAACTGCTGGTACAGTATGTTAATGTTGGGTTTCTATACCAGAAAACAGGTAAATATGTGACAGCGTACTACTGTACAGGCACACATCTGTTTAATTCCCTGATGTTCCAACTTTCAAGGGTAATTTATATCAGATTCCCAGACTCTTCTGGTCTGGACTTAAACTCGCCAAGTTTCACGAGGAAATACTGACTGCGGTTCTGAGACTTTACCATCTGACTTTTGGTTTCTTGTAGTCAGTGTGTCAGGAACCGACTCCAGACAAAAACAAGAGATCACGCAGATATTTATAAATTATAAAACTCCAGTGATCGCTGTGGGCGATCAAACCGGCTAAATCTGGTAAAATACTACTAGAAACAAGTAATATTTTCCCCTCATCAGTGTTACATCATTCTCTGTCACACAGAGACAACGGGAACGTTGTTCTCAGTGGGGCAGCTCGGGTTGCATAATGTGGTCTATTTTAGCATCGTTCCCCAAAGACACAGAGAGAAAACCAAACACTCATTCATTTCCAAACTAGTGCTTCTCTTAGGAAAATACAGCCGTGTCGCCAATGCCAAGCCAAACAACTGCAGACCTGTTTTTGTACATTTAAGTCGATTCACTAAAAATAACATCCACTTTAAACTGCTGCTGGATGTTTTTCAAAGCAACTTGAACTATTTTGAGTTGTCAGTGTAATTTTTTTTAAACTCTCTTTCACTACAACATGAGACTTTAAATGTACTTGGTCGTGTTCTTGAGAGCAACAATTATAATAATTATCATTATAAGCAAAACAAGGCCATTTCAGGCTGGACCGCAGCCCTGTAAGTCCCTGACTGACTGCATGAGTGATAAAGTTACACCATTGGTCGGTCGACTGTTGGAGTTTCCCCATTGGCTGTTGCTCTTTTAAAATGAATAGCTGCTTCCAGTCCTCAATTACACCCTCAGGAGCACATTGGCCATACACAGTGCAGACATATAGGTTTGTTTCTGTAATATTGGTTCTCAAATTGTTTTCATTCATTTCAAAACTTTGGCACATAAACCTGATACCACCTGTGTGACTACATGTAACAAAGGACAGGTGAGAAAATATAGGATTTGAATTAACTGAACCTTTAATGTCCAAAGTCATTATCATTAAGTTGAAGTGTGAACCTATCGATACGTCAACCATTGGTTTGTGAAGCCTCAAGTTTACAAAAAAAAGCAGAAGCAGATTCTTACTGAAGTGGTCTGGAGATCCCAGTGTGGAGAAGACGCAGGTGAGGAACTGTAGTCGGACCTGGACCTCCGCACTGTGGCTGTACCTGCGACGACACATCAAAGGGAGACATGTCAGCATTACTATTACTGATCTTACTGAAATCCATAACGTTAAATTAAAAATGTGCTGCTCCTGTCACATGGGTGGTGATGGACATAACATCAGGAAACATTCCTCACAGCTCGTGCTCAAGTCCAATTTAACTTCACCTCGGTTCGGGTTTAACTGATTTTCTTTTTTGGAGCGAGTATATAGTATTGGTGTCACCGGTGAACCAGGTAACGGACTTACAGTGCAAACTTGTGCCGGTGTTCCCGGACCTCCTGGATGTAGTGCTGCAGGTTGTCAAAGAACAGCTTCATCATGTGCAGCTCCTTCTCAGCCCACCTGACAGAACCGACAAGCAACAATCAGTAACACTCGTGAAACGAGACGGTTTAGGAGCTTCTTCAAACCGGTAGTATAAAGTTTAGTAGATCTGCTGTAAACAACAGAGGTTCAATATACAGCCTGAAGCACAGTAGCTGCTAAACACATTAATCTGAACTTGGTTGCTATGATACAGAAATAGGAAGTGATGTAGGAAATGTTACTTACATGGTGATCCAGTGGGTGTCATAGCTGGAGCCAAATTGCTGAAAAGTGCCAAAAAGTTTGGGTAATAGACGCAAGGAAACCACAACAGACCTGCGGGTAGATGAAGAGATGGGAGTTAAAAATAAGAGTGAAAGACACTAAACGTTGAATTTTGAGTAGTTATTTACTCTGTTTGACTTTATATTTGCAGATTGGATCATCAAATAAGTTATTTATGCTTTCTGTGACTTTAGAGGCGCAGCAGGCTGAAGAATGATTCTCCTCCTGCATGTTCAACACTACTAAATCTTTTCTAGGTCCCAGTGTTGTTCAGCTTTCAGACATTCTTTCTATGAGTGGAAACCCTGGATGGAATCAGACCGGTTGTTCTGGCGTGGGTCAGCCGTACCTGTGGTGGGCTAAGTTGTCAAGGCAACCCTCGATGAAGCGCATTCGGATCTGTCTGTCAGTGAACCAACAGACGAGTGAACACAACAGCTTTTCTGCTTCATTGATCAGACCCTCAGACAGATGAATCTGAAAACACACACACAAATTAAAAGTGAGATCACACTGAGGCAGCATTTCTCATTCTCCTCTGATGGACTCAGCAGCTCCTTATTAAGGCCTTTTCTTTGGGTCATTTTGCTTCTGAGAGACACTTTGATCATTTTAATGAATCTTGATGAACAAACTCAATATTTAATATTGTTTACAAGCATTTCAATATTTAAGTTATGACCAAAGTGAAATAAAACATGGTTCTGTAAACATATTAAACTTTATCATTCTTTATGTCTACTCAAATGTTTTTTATTGTTCTTTCATATTATATTTTATCATTATGTTTGATTCTTTAAATCTGTTATTTTATTTTATGTGTAATTTTTGGCTTTATTACTCATTACTTATTTTGTAAAACACCTTGAAACTCTGGTTTTGAGAGGAGTTATAGAAATAAAGTTTATTATTATTATTATTATTATTATACAATATAATAATGTAGTGTAATTATCTTCTGTCACAATACAGACTTGAATGGCCATTTTAGCCAACAGTTAGACTAAACTGCAGGGTCTTCCCTACCATTACTATACTGCCTGTTAAGTAATGATAGCCTACCCCTGTGCCAGATGTTTAATTTTTAACTGCAGTTATTGTTAACAGACAATTCATTTTATTTATTGTTTTGGTTGTGTGGCTTTATTTATCGCAAATATTTTTTCCACATTATAAATCCAATGTCTGAATATTCTTAGGAAGTGATAATATTAGTCGCCGGTGATAAAGGACGTCTATTATTGTGCTTCTAAAAGACGAGAAATAATCTTTTATCCGCAATTTATTTCTGTGACAAGCAACTCTAGACACGACTGCAGCCCAGTTTATTGTTTGTTGTTGTAAAGCACTGTTTCTGCGAAACGCATCAAAAAATAATGAATATGCTTCATAAAGAGAAGAGACGTGATACCGCGTCCGTCGTCCTGGACCAGGTCCACACGGCAGCGTGTCTGGCGCCTCTTACCAAACGTCTTGTCTCAGTGCTTGATGTCGCAGTCACACGCGGTGGGCTGCGCTGAGTATGGGCCTTTTATTGGACGGCCCGGACCCCTGCACGAGATTCACAGCGCACACAATTCAGTATTAATGATTAAACACACAAACAACGCTGAATAGTGGAAACTACATTTTCTGAACTCTTCAAGGTTTGAGTGCGCCGGCTCACACGCCTGCACAGGGTGCTGCGTGGTAGCCACCTGGGAGGGCCAGGTTTTTGGCGGACCACGGTGCTGCTTGCGAGGTGGGAGCGTGAGCTCAGCCGTGTGGTGACTGTTGGATCGGACAGCTTCCTCCTCACAAGTCCCGACTCCGCGCGTCAACGGGTCGGCCCATGTTTTTCTCGACTTTTGCGCTGACCTGGAGCTGCCGCACCGGGCTCACGTCGTCGGCGTCATGCATGTCCTCCACCATGGGACCTGAAAGCAGTGGAGGGGGAGGAGGAGGGAGGAGAGGAGGTGAGGAGGAGGAGGAGGAGGGTTGTAGGAAAGGAGGCAGAGAGGCAGATTAATCAACCAGCTCCATCACAATGTGAACATCACAGCTGCCTTTTTTAAACAGAAAGGCAACTTTAGAAACCGACTGCTACATAGAACACATTCATGTTCCCCAGAGGAAACATTATCTCAAAGCCAAATGTCAGCTCTGCACATAATATATCTCATAATCTAACTGACAGATTGCAATGACATTTCCCGAGCACATTCGAGCGCCCCAGATGATTAACTACTTCTATCAGCTCTTCTCCATTAAATTATAGTTCTCCTTAATTTAACCTGAGAGCGACCTGTGAGGAAAAAGTTTCAAAATAAAAGTGATTGATTTTAAACTCAATAACTGCCAATGCCTTCTTTTGAAACACAAAACAAAAGTGTGTTGTGTTTTTCCCAGATTTTCTGGTATTTTTATTGCTACCTGCTGCACATTAGTGGAATAAACCTCTGTGTTCTCTGATTCCACTAATCATGTGTAGTCATGTGTAGTACTCAGTAAAACAACCAGTATCTTGTTCAACATTGAGCAATGAGCAGCGCAGCCTCCAACTGCCTCTGGCCAAGACTTTAGACAGTTAGTGTGTGCTGATACAACCCCTGCATCAGACATCAGGGTGAAAGTAAAGAAATAATCCAGTGCTATCTTTTAGCCTAAACCAGCACGTAAAGGCTTAACTAAACTTTGAGCAACGAGCTGTAAAGAGAGAAGACACAGATGAGGAGTATGTGTAATGTAAGTGAGACCTGTCAGCGTCGCTGTCACCACGTCGGCTGTCTGGAGTTATTTTAGGCTGAAGGAAGAAAAAACAGCCGAGTGCAGTTTGTGTACTGTGCAATTTATTTAAATATCGTCCTGAATGTTTGAACGTCGCTGACCAATCAAAGATGCAGCTAAAGGTTCCCAGTGACAAAGTTTAAACTGAGTCGTATATTTCTTCCTTCATGGCAGTAGACTGTTGGTTTCACAGTTTGAGTACGAGGTTTTATAGACGGTAAACAAAGTGCATCCATTCAAATGTATTATTAAGAGTGTAGTTGTTTATGAGAGGGGAAAAGAGAGCAGATATTCGAGGTGGCTGTATCAGACAGTAAAGAGTGCTGGTCTTACCCTTCATGATGGTGGTGGTGATGATGGTGATGGTGGTGGTGCTGTGGGCCAATGAAGCGCCGGCAGTTAAAGAGCTCGCTGCCCATGGCCTCCCCCAGGAAGTCCCCGGGCCGCGGCAGGCACGGGGGTTCCTGAGGCCCCTGGACCATCTGTGAGGGGCCGATGTCTGAGGGCTGCTGCTGGGGCTCCGTCCCATCGGGCCGAGCAGAGGACGACGCAGAACACGAGTCCAACATCCTCATCCGGCCCTCCAGTGACGTTGATGCTGCCGTAACCATGACAGCAGAAGTCTCTGGGTTGAAGGGGAGAACTTTGGGCTTGGCCCCGCCCCCTGAACCACTGGGCCCCGCCCCCTGGCTCGACCCCTCGCCGAGCGCCTCCCCCGCCTTCCTCTTCCTCGACTCCGTCTGCTCCCTGGGCTCCTTCTGCTGCCCGCCTTCGGCAGCCGACCGGTTCCCTTCGTCTTCGTCCTCCTCATCATCGTCATCGTCCTCCTCGTCGTCTTCCTCTTCATCGTCCTCCTCCTCCTCCTTTAAGGCCTCGCTGTCCGCCATGTCGTCAGAGTGCATCTCGCTGCCGGGGCTCCCGGCTGATTGGCTGGCTCTGCTGGAGGCGGCTTCGTTGCTGGAGGCCTCGCTGCGACCGCTGCTGCTGCCGGGCCCGCTGCTGCCTTCCTCCACGCTGTTGGCCGTCTCATCGGAGCTGCCCTGCATCGACTCCTGAACAGACAGCCACAACAAACCATTATATATTATATTATATTATATTATATTCAGTGTGGCAGTCAGTCAGAGGTCAGAGCTCGGGTTCAAATATCTGAATGTCTTATGGCGTCTTTGTGCCCTCCAGCCTGCAACATGATATCAAAATTATAACATAATCCGGCCTGTAGATTATTATTTGTTCATTTTTTTCTCGTTGTTTCATATCAATTTAAACTACCCTTCACATACAACTAAAATAAAAACAAATAAAAAATGGGCCTTCATTTCTTGTTCGGCTGAAAAAATATAATATATTGTACAGAAACTCATGTTTGATTTTATTTTGTTAAAATGTGATGTTAGTAATAGAGATATTTTCAGAATTTTATGCCTTCTTGCAGCACTTGACTGTTGAAGTGGCCCTCCTATGAGACGACAATACCAGCAGCGGCCGTAAGACAATTGGAGTTTGAGACCCCTGGTTTAAATTATTCACCCTCCATCAAGCGTTTTACATTTAAAAAATACACTTTAAATTGTGTGTACCTCTGTGTCAGACAGCCTCTGCTGGCTCCTCTTGCTGCCGGTCATCATCTGGTCGTCCATCTCCATGTCGCTGCCTCCGCTGTGCTGCGTGTCGCTGTTGTCACTGCTGTCCGGACTGGCGGCTGGTGAACCTGAGACCAGACAAGAAGACAGACGGAGAACTTCCTGTGAGAAGGAATTCAAACCTGCCACACAAACATTCACAGTTGACACCCACAGTAGTGGCGCAGAGGCCGGATCAGGAAGGATGCACACTGTCTGCGGAGCCTCATCTGTTGCTTCGACACTGTGTCTATTTAAGGAGGATTCGCTGCCACTCTCACTGGCTGAGCAGTCATGGAGAGTGACTCAATCAAGTAAATGTACAATTCTGAGAAACCTTACTTGAGTAAATGTGTTACTTTTTACTCGAAATTTAGATTTAGTATTATATTATATAAGTATTTAATCCACCTTTACCAGCTGCAACATTAAAGTAATAATCACATTAATGGATTAATAATTACAACCCAGTAATTACTGAATTAAAGGATTCAAGGTTATTTTATTGTCAACACACGGGTGTATTATGAAATTCAGATATATTTCACTTTATCCTACTTGTAAAAAACACAAAAACAAAAACAAAATACACATCAATTAATAATCATAATATATAATATACATTATTCTGAAATGGGACATTCTGCAGAAGACTTTTGTACTGAAGTAAAACAAAAGAGTATTTCTGCACTGTGGTATTTTGGTACTTTTATTGTAAGTAAAATATCTGAATACTTCTTCCACCACTGCCAAAGTGTCAAGAGAAAATAAAAAATCTAATGTTGCTGCAGAGACATTTAAAATATTACATTTTGATTTCTCAATCTGCCGTACACAAACCCAGACTGACCTTTCTTGTTGCCCATGGGGATGTTGGTGTTGAGCAGGGAGGCGAAGGAGCTCTGTTTGGAGAGCTGGGCTTTGGCTGCGAGGGCGTTGTTCCACAGAGCCTTGATCAGCATGGAGGCCAGGTACAACGTCTGAGCAGCGAAGGGGGGACACACAAGCGTTTAGCAACACCTTAAAATACAATCACAGTGGGGTTATTTTAGGTTAATATTGAGGCTGGGTGCGAACGTGTACCTGCTCGGTGTGTGCGCTGGGGTGCAGGCCTGACACCAGGTTGAGGACGTGGCGGAGAGGCACTGGGTCCAGGTTTTTGATGAGTGAAGGAAAAAGGTCGTGGATGTAACGGCTACAGTGTTTCAGCTAAAACATAAACAAAAAGTACGATTCATTATTTCAGATTTAAGGAGCAGAAAACGTGATCGTTTGTTGTACTTAAATATGGTCTATATATAATATTTTAAATATACCAAGATTACATCATTAATTCAGCTGTACACTAATCAACAATCTAATCAACTGGACAGCAGTGATACATTTATCCCTACTAACTAGTAACTATGTTAATAATGTATTTATTAATGTATAACGTATATTTGTGCTGTTCCACAGAGTAACAAGCAGGTTAATGGAGTGGAATAAAGCCGTGTACAGTCAGGTGTAAATCTGGGCCGTCTTACCTGAGCTGCTGCCCAAATACAGTCCACATGCTGCGTGCTGAGTCGGCCCTCTGCAGCCAAGAAGTTCAGGATCACTTGGCACTGTTTAATGATCTGGAAAACACACACACACACATACACACACTTAAGACCAGCAGAGCTTGGAGAAAATAAATTGACCTCCACTCTCCAGTGCTGCACTGTTTAAGTGAAGAAACCGGAGGACAAATTTGAGAAAACGCACTCCATTTTAACGCAACTCACAACATGTATCACATGTAGTTACAAATGCAACACAACATTTTTGAATACAACTGCTGTCAGGTCATGTGACTGGATCGAAAGGTCTCACCTCAATGTGCAAATTTGGTCCGAATATGTGCTCCACCACATTGTTGTGGATCAGCCAGTCAGCTAGCTCCTTCGCTATGGACCTGGAGGAGCCAGAGCAGAATCCAAATGAGGGGAATAACACACACTGTAACCGCAGCTCAGTATGAAAAGCAGAAAACTTCCACTTATCCTTTAGTAGGATGTGTGTGCTGTGACATGGTGCTTATTGACTGTATATAGAGAAGTGACTTTCCCTTTGGTTATTTCGTCACACTGAATTCACATTTAACATGTTTAAATACGAGTGTGTAACTGGACAATGTAGTTTTTGGAGAAAACAGCACAAGTTGTAAATTATATTATGCAACAACTGAGAAAATGAACACCGTCTTTCATAAATGACTAAAAATACAACTTAGCACTGACAGTTCTGAAGACTGTTGCACGGTTAGTATTGTTGATATCAATAAAATGCCATTATATCATCAATTAATGAATTAAAGTACACCATTTTAATTCTATAATAGACACCATGGCACTTTGATGGACGCCTTTGTGCACAGGCATCGGATCCTTTTAAACTAACTTACGTTTCTGTGTCGGACACCAGTGACTCGTTGTTGCAGACGTCATTGAAGGTGTGGAGTTGGTTCTGAGGAAACACGGACACACATATTCTATGAGGAGTGAATTAACAGTACATCATACATGCTTGTATATTTCCCATCAGTGCCATAGCAAAAGCTTCAAATTAAAAGAAAGTAATTATCACCGTTTCCTGGGAAATACAGACCGATCTAGACTTCAAAATTGTGTCTGGGGCCTTTATTGGTCTTTAAAAACTAAGTCAGTTTAATCAAATGGAGTAGCAGTCTTTTTAAGATACAGGTCCACAGTCATTACAGTGATACAGAACCAGAATCAATCACAGAGGTCTCTCTTGGGACGGTTGCTGAGGCCAGTGGTTTCCAACCCACTAGGGGAGGCCAAGACTTCACAGGGGGTTCGTGACACCTTCTTGGTTTTAAAGTGTGCTCGAAAACTTTAAAAATCTACACAGTAGATCTATATCTCAGCATCTGGTAAGTATATTGTCTAATAGAACAATGGTTAAGCATCTGCGACAAGAAAACACTGAATCTGTCAAGAAAGAAGTTTGCTATTAAGTCTGTATGATTGTTTAAAATTATTTTAAAAATCCATAACACAGACAGAGAATTGTATAAAAAGTTCCCTAAACAGGAAATAATCTGCTCAAAATTCATCCAAATCACTCGTTTTACACAAACTTCCTGCAGTTACTGAGTTCACTGTT